GCACAACAGTGAGCATTAAACTAGACAATCCTTTTCACCTTGTTGTTGCCTGGTTCTTTATCTTTCTGTGGCAGCTTTACTGTTCTGCAAATTTGCTTACTTTCAACTCCAAACCGAAAGCTGCATCAGAGCCTTGTGTTACAACTACTCCACCTTGTGGGAATGAACCAAACCCGTTGTCCTAGTGCGTTAAAGGGACAATGTTTATAACTTTGGGGCTAGAAGTATGGTAATAACTGAGATGGAGCTTGCCTGTCTTGAACCCAAGGCTCCCATTTCCAGGCACACTGATGACTGCATGTGATATGGAGACTTCAGTAGTGCCTGACAAGTCCTTCTAGACAAAGCTGTGCTATATCTACCTGGCCAATGAAAGTGGCCATGAATCTCAAACACAAATATTAACAAGTTAGAGGGTTTGGACTATTTTTTGTACCATGTTTTTGTAGAAATCATACCTATGTTCGAAGAAAACCAGATAAAATTTCTGAAAATGAGTCAGTTAAACAAGAGCGACTGCAGCAATAAAGAATTCAGTTTCCTTTATCTCTAATTTATGGACTCACAGCCTCACTGAAAATGACAACTGTTTTTATTTGGTTGTGTTTTTATTTTGGTGGCTTTTATGCAAATAATTGTTAATATTAATCTCTGTGTCACACAGAAAAAAACAACACAAACAAATTTGGTGAGAAGGTGTGAAATGGGAATGAATATTAAAGTTGACCCAGTGTGGGAGCACTGTCCAAAATGGTGAAAAGATGTTCTGAAGCTAATCTGTGAGTAAATTTCAATATTACTGACTCTTTTGTATTTGATATGTAAAGGGAAGTTAACTACTCTGGTTCTTAACTTCTCAAAGCTCTCTTATAATGGTAGTATAAATCCTGATTCTGTAAATAGGCTCCTAAGTTGGGAATGTGCTGTCTTTTCACACTGTTTGGAAACCTCACTCATATTGATTGATGGCCTGCATAAACCTGTGGATTGCATGCAGGTCTAAGAAAATGCAAATAATTTTTCCTTCAATAATATCTTCTAGTGTATATATTATTCAGTTTAATATTTGTTTATGTAAACATATTTTCTGGACAGTAAAAAGTTGCATCGACTCTTTAAAGTGCTACACTTGTAACAGAAGAGGTCTCTTCATTAAATTTTGTTGTGTAAGGCTGCTTGCCACTGTCTACATATTTAAGATTTCTGGCAACAACAGCTGAGCTCAATATAGCAGTGACAGGGGTTTCATTTTCTAAGTCTCCTAAATAAAGTTATGGAATAGCAATGGAGGAATTGCCATGTCAAACAGATCTCCTGGTTTATCTTTTTCTTCATCCTGTCACTGACATGGCTGATACCATGTGCATCAGAGAACAGCACAAGAAATATCATATGACATGGATTTCCTATGGGAAAATTTCCCTTCCAACCCCAAACATATATTGCTTGGCTTACATCCTAAAGTATAAGGGTTTATGGCTAAGCATGCAAGCCAAACACAATTCTAATGCTATGTAATTCTTTAAATTACTGTTGTCATAACCCAAGCAAATGATATCAACCAGTTTTCCATTATCCACAAGTTTTACTGACCTGTAAGGTGTTCCCTTTGCCACAAAAATAGTAACAATTCAGCATGCTACTCCAAAGTGCTTCATTATTCCTGGTGTCTAGCCTTTCAATTTTGCCCAGAAAAAGACACTTTTCAAATTTTACCTGCCTGAAGTAATCTATACTTACAAGTGCTGAAGATAGAGATGGTGTTGGAGGAGAAGGAGCAGGAGTCGTCCTTGGCCCTACTTTCTCTCCATTAGTATCTGGTTCAGGTTGGACCAGGACTGTTGCATGAGCTGGTTTATCTTCATCCACAGGTGGCCTAACCTCTGGCTCTAGAGTGGGACATCGGCCAATATCTGCATTTTCAAAGGACACGGGTTGAGCAAAGTCCATGGGGCTGAGAACACATAAAGAAATTGATGTCTGCTATTAGTTTTTCTGCCTTTTTACCACCCATTTATAAAGAATAGCTATATGTTGAAGTATAATTTTACTTCACAGGACACAAAAGTCAGGATTCATCCCATCCTGTACAGATAGGTACAGGTACAGAAACAGGACACTTAAATTAGAGGTGATAGTCACATTGGCTTTCCTTCCTACAGTCAGTGCAGAGACACAGGTAGCCTCTTTTGCAAGCCTAGGTAGTTTCAATTACATTGCAGAGAAGTCCTTCTCTATGATGTACATCGATGGAGTGTGGGGTGACGAAGTCCTAATTTAAGTGCTTCAGATATGTGAAAGAAAGCTTTAGATGGGAATTTTCCATAGACGTTTTACTTTATTCACCATTCTCTTTCTTTCTACTTAAATGTACCTTCCAGATTACTGCACTTCCCACAAAGAAAATTGATTCCCATGGTGGTTCTCAGAATTTCTATACTCTTGGAGGTCAACCCTACTTAAAATAAAGTGTTATAGTGCACCATAAATACCTATTGCTGATGCACATCTTACTGCAGTATTACTGTTGAATTTCTCTGATTTTATGGATACACAGTGTTGGCTTGTCTGTGTAACAGTTCATTAACTGCACAGCCTATGGAGGGTATACTGTAGACAAAAAAGGAAGGGCATATAAAGAAAATGGATTATATTCTAGGACTTGCTGCTAGTATGATTCCTTGCGACAATGAATTTTCTTTTGGCGGGCAGGGTAGTTAACCAGACCTCATTAACTGGATATTTGTTGGCATCAGTGAGACTTACGTGGCATTAATGACAAGATTCCATATACAGCCTTGAAATGGTGGTATGTTCCTGAGGGGTGCAGTCTGAAACTGAGAAGAAGTACCTCCCACAAAGAGTCTCTTCACAGATACAGGCTGGTCTGATGGCAATCTCTGAGTCTGGACTTTGTCTTCATCAACTTGAACAGTAAACATCCTGTGCAAAAGATTTGAAAGCAAAGAAATATTTTACTCTGGTTATTGCTTGTACTGAAATCACCCCTTTGCAGGCCCCATTTACTCCTACACCAGCTATAACAGTGAAGAATCCAAATTATGTAATTAGCAGCTCACATTAAATGCATATTGACCACTAGAGGATTTTCAGCTACTGCTATGCTTCCTGGGTAGTTCTCTGACAAAGCTTGTCAAAATTATGCTGCAGGGAGGCAATATCAGATTGTAGTTGCATAAGAAATGTTTGTGGTGTGGCAACACTGACACAGCAAGGACCAAGCCTGCTGTACTGCAATGGGAGAGAGAAACATCCAGTGCTCAGCAGGTTAGGAACAGCATAGGGTCACATTTTGTTTGGACTCCCTATTTCCCTGTTTGTACAAGTTATTATCTTCATGCTGGGGGACAACCTCTGCCACAGATCAACCACAGAGACATGCCATACACTTTTTAGAGATCTGGTAGCTTTTTCTTGGGGAGATGGAGTAAGAAAATCACAGACTGTTCACCATGTTCATACAGGTGCTATAATTCGTTCCCATGGGTAATACACATAGCACAAGTCAAAGACAAAGCAGACTCATGGAATATACTGCTAACATTGAACAGAGGAAGGTAGAAGCCCCTGAAGCACAGCACCACTGGCTGACCAATATGTTTCTGACAAAACCCCTCACTTTTGTCAACTGCAAAATTATATTGAACTCCAATATTCTTCCTTAACTATAATTGAGATGTTAGCAGCTGACTATTGAAAATGTAAATTCAAAAGAGTCTTCTTTCTGATTTTTTTTAAACAACACAGAACATTGTGCATAGTGCACTAATGTGCTGAGTGTCTGTACAAAATGTACACATTTGTATGTTCAAGAGTCCATAATAAATCCTGCTTGGAACAAGGGCTATTCCAGGCCACAAATAATACTGACTGCCTGAGTCCTACACAGCAAAATAGTGCCGATTCTAATCACTTTTTGAATGGTGAAGAGTAAGACATTTTTACAATGCCTGAGAAGGGGCAAAGGAATTAAAGTGAAATTATGTTTAAAACAACATGGTCTGAGAAGGTCTGCAATGGCTTTTCCAGGAAGAATGACTGTGGGACTCTGTGTCTTCACTGTTTTGCCATATTTATCTAGGCACCACTGTAACCCTATGCATAGACATTACATCTCAAAAAGGCTACAGGCTGCTATGCTGATGCTGTTAATACCCTTTGAAAATGTTTGTTTTCTTTATGTCCTGAAAAGGCGATTTACTTTACTGCAGCATTATTTCTCATCCACATATTCTATTAATAAAATATATTTGCCAAAAATCACAAAGTTGAAGATGCCAATGAGAGATAATGAGAGAAAAGAGAGAACAAGAGAGATGCAGCTGGCTGGAGAAACAGGCTGATAGCCTAGGAAAGCATGTAAACCTAACACCGCAGAAAATTAAGCACTATCAGAGACTTCTAAAAATTTCTGGATAATGATGGAATTACACTAATATTTTTCTGTCTCAGCAGAAGCATTGACATAGATTGCCAAAGATATAAATGCATTTTCTTTGTTGAATTAGCTGTGCTGTGTGGTCTGTAGCACTTCTAGGTATTGGTTACCCTTTAGCTCGTTCTATCCGGACGGAGTGTGCTCGGCCGTCGTGAAACTCTCCAGCCTCTGGTCTGATGGTGATTCTGTAGGGATCCCGGAGCCCAGTGGAGATATGCACTTCTAGTCGACCTCTGTTCAGGAACACTGCATAGTAGGCCTGCAACGTATATGTTGGTATGAAAAGGTAAGTTACATTGGGAAAGTAATTATTTCACTTAGTTTTACATTAGTGTGTATATTTTATTGTCTTACACTGGTTTTTAATTTGCTCACTATAGAGAAGACACTGTCGTTTCAGTTCTGCTGCTGCTGCTACATTCAGACTCTTGTATTTTTGTACTGAGGAATGGGTAAAATGAGGTCATGCTGTGAAACCTCAACAAAAGATTTAACTCTCTGCGTACCTATTTTCAGGGAAGGATGGAGACTTGTAACAATAAAAATCAGAAAAACTGTAGGTTAGATGACCTTGTCTTAAACCCATCAAGCCCTGAATACTATTGATCTCGGTATGAGTTCTGCATTTGGAGGACTGGCAAATTATGCCAGTAGTTACTCTAGCACCAATATCACATTACAGCGGATTTCAGGATCTAACCTGCAGTTACTATAGTGATAAGTGGTCATGTTCACTTTTGTGACCTGAAGAGCTGGAAAATGATAAAAGAGCCCGTACCCTGAAGTTACTGTCATGCAGGTGAGTCATTATAATGTGCTGTCCCTGGAGTGTGTTCCTCCAGGTCACTGAGATCTCTCTTCCAAAACAGGCAGAAAGGAGAATAATGAAATATCATTTCCCAGAAGTCCTGAAGAAAGAATGCATCAAAGCATTCTGTTTATTGCTGCTGTAGTATGTCTGTCTGTCAGGATTTTAATTAATCAAGATTTGAATAATTTCTTTACCAGTTAGTCAATTGGACACTCTGGATTTATATAGCAGGTTTGTGTTTTATGGGAGAGAAGGAGAGGCTGGAGCACTCGAGTCTTATATCCCACAGCAGTGACCCCAAACAAGGGGCTTATCTTATACTGCTTTCGCCAGTATATTTTTTTCTTTTGGTCTGAGAGGAATTAGAATGATCCTCATTTATGTCTGTACGAACAGGAATGAGAGAGTTTCAGAGCATTAATAGTGCATAAGTAGTCCTCAGAATGAGTGAAGAACAGTATTTTCTAATATTTAGGTTTCATTAAAAAAACCAACGAGGAATATTATAAAATCCCGAATCTGCTGCTTAGCAACAGGCACTGGATGTCTTACTGTAAATCTGTAAGAGAAACAGTTACTTCAATGCAAAAAACAATTCTGACCTTCTATCAGATTCTTCATCAGATAAAGGATAACATTAGAAATAATTTATCGCCAAACACTGAATCTTAATTTAAGCATAAACATCTGATAGTGTCTTGAAACAAACAAATTGAAAGTTCAGTAAAATTGTGGGTTTTCTTTATCTCTTGCTAGGTTCCTCCTACCTGTCCTGTCTGTCTGCGCTTTCTTCTCAGAGCGGCAGCTTTCCTCACAGAGTACCTGCGCTTTCTCCTGGGCAGGACAATTGTGCCACTTGTGCCAAACAAGATGATCCCAGACTCATTTTTGGTGCTGAAGGAGAGATTGATTTCTGTGCCCGTGTCAAAGGAGACAGGCTGCAGTTCCACAAAACCTGGCTTGAAGAAGCTAACTGTATAAATGTTCTGTAGGAAGAAGAGGACAGGAAAGGACATTAGTGGAATCAAAGGCAAAAGTATGAACACACAGGAGGATTCTTAACTAAAACAATAAACTATGTAAATATCACTGGTGTGAAGAGATGGAAAGTAGTAATAAACACTCAGCAATTTACTCCTTAAAGTGTTGTGCAAACACAAATTTACCTGTTTACATCTGGCATCATTAGTGTATTTCTGGAACCCTGTCTTACAGGAAGGCAAAGTTCCTGTCTCATGTCAGTATACCCTCTTGGAATAAAAATAACTGCTCATGGGTGTGGGGTTTTTTTTAATATGAATATTTTCCATTGAGTTAATACAGCTGGATTTTGCTTTTAAATCAATCCAATAGGTAACAACAGTCAATATGAACATAAATTAGATTCTATTATTTGTCAAATGTGCCCAGAAAATACTTTTCATTAATAAGTCATTATTGCTTCATTAAGCACCACTGCTTTCTTGATTACTAAGACTCACAAATGAAGCATCATTGCATGTGGTCCAGCTCTTTGGACATTAGTAGTCATTAACACAACTTAAAGAGGCATTAAGAAAAAAGTTTAAATTGGCACATTTAAATAATAGAATGCAGAGCCAGTCTTTATATTTTGCTTTTACATCACTTTTCCTGCATATCCCGTTTTGTACAATTAGAATATTTTATTTCCCCAGCAAAATGGTTAATTCAATTAGATTTCATACTCTGAAACCTCAGGTGTTACAAAATAACACGAAAAGCAGAGAACACTTAAGATTCATAGCAACAGAAGAAAAGGAACAGAAGTGTCCTTCTTTCCTATTCCAGAAAGAACCTACAATAAATGAAAAGAAATATGAACCTCTGTATCAATTTTTGCTGTAACCAAATTTGCAAGATTTAAACAATCTGTTTGTTAGCAGTTTAGCTTTATTGCAAACTTGAAATCTTCAAATTATGGATCTTATAACAGATCCATGTAGTCTAATATCCTGTCTGAGAGTCCTACTGTTGTGTGCTTTTTGCTCTAACGAAGGCCAGAAGTACAAAGGATAAATACAGCAAAATAGGGCCTTGTCTTTATTTTGGCCTGGTCAAGTTGCAGTCACTGTTCAAAGGAAATTTTAAGTGTTTTGTAGAAAATAATGTTTGGAGAGCATCAGGATAATAACAACTCCAAGGAAATTTTAAGTGTTTTGTAGAAAACAATGTTTGGAGAGCATCAGGATCATAACTCATTTGGATTTACTGTAGTGATATCTGATATGGAACTCCAGATCTTACATCTGCTTGCAAAACTATTTTAAACAGTATAGATTTCCAGGGAAGAAATACAAGCTATTTCTTGGGAAACAAATGTCACTGGAAGTAATTTTTAAATACAAAGACTTTTCCATGGAAAATTACTACATTCTGTATGGAATTTCAGATCAGATTCCACGAATTCTATACACATTGAAAGTCTGTTAATTGCAAGCAGCAACAATTGAAAGTAAATGGACCCGAGTTGTACTTAAATCTAAAATAACAACACCAATTTTGCACATTCTTACTTATCAGTAAGAAATGTGCCTTCCAGCTCAGTGGTAGCTCATAACAGTAAATGCTCTACATTTGCTGTCATAAAGGTGGCTGTTCCAGCTATTCCCAAGCAGATTGTGATTTTCAAAGTACTTCAGGTTTTATGCAGTGAATGACTTTGTAACAACAATTTTTTAAAAAAAATTAAATCCTTGCATTTTATGTGCATCAACGCTTTTTAATTTTTGCAATGTTGTTACTGCCTACTTCTATCCTCATTAATGTCAATAATTCTCATTTTCATCTTCTGAAACAAAACTAGATCACTGCTATGCAGTTCAAAAAATCCTACCCTTTAGGGATATCACAACTAGCCAGGGATACTGTCCAAGAAGGTAGGATATGAAGAACTGGTCTACTTGCTGAATAGAAAGACTTGTCTTTCTTTCTGTTAAATGTACCTGTTTGGATTTTCAGGTTAAATTCCTGTGTGTGTCTGAATATGCCTTATATAATTAACATATTATGCCATAAAATCAGAAACCAGAAAACATTTATACCCATTAAGACCAAAATACATGGAAATCAGACTAACCTCTAGTGTGCATCCTTTGGTTAGACCAACAAAATCAGGACTACTCAATATATTGTATGGTGTCCTTGAAATTTCAATGTCTTTGAGGCAGCCTGTATATTTCTCTAAGTTCACTTCAGGCCTAAAAAACATTTAGAAGTACAACGTGTTTTCAAAAATAGAGTTTAAGGAGAGCCCAGTCAGCCAGACACACACACATACACTTTCAGATGCACACAAGCTTGATTTTTTTTTTAGCTACACACACAAATGAATATATGTTGCCTTCTACCATCTATCAGCACACATTGCACCCTGCCTTGCATCACTCAAAGGTGTAACAGGACATTCATCTCATTTCCAATTCATAACAGTCCTCTTTTTCTTTCTTTAGGTTTTTCATTGGTTGTTGTACTTTTTTTTCCTTTGGTAAAGGAATGCTGTCACCTTGGGGGTTAAAATGCAGTGAACTATGAAATAAGGAAGTTGTTCCTTAGGCAAAGCAGAAAGATGCAAGCTAGGGAGTCATAACAGTAAGGACAGACCTTAACTGGAAGATATATTTCATTCCTCTTTTTGCATGGTAGGTCCTAATGAAAGATGCAGACTAGCAGCATACAAATATTTTGAATAAAGTTTTTGCCAATATGCTTTAGGAATGCAGTCAGGTGGAGTGACATTTGTTTTCTAGGTATTTTATATTCCCAGTATCTTTCTTATCAAAATAGCTGCATACTTTCTTATGGCACAGCAATACATTTGACTTTCTCAGGCAGTTAAAGAAAAGCAAACACTTGGGTTTGATACAGAACGTAACTGTCCATCCAAGAGAGGAAAATACTGTAACAGAATTAAAGTTCCATAGTTTGACTCATCAGTTGGCTGACAGAAGATATTAGAAACCCCTTGAAAGTAACACCAAAGCTATCACACTTGAATGCAAATGTATGATTTCCCAGGCCTGGGAACACCAGAGTGAGACCATAACAGCTGGCAGCATCTGAACCAGGCTTGCCAGAAGAAAAGCCTTATAAAGTCACTTCAGAAAAAAATGTTGTCATTCATACCATGAAGACTAAATCAAAAAAGAAAAAAATCCCACGAGTTAATTCACTGACAATATCACCCATGAGTGTTTACTAGAATATCTGAATAATATGAATAGCTCAAAGAAAGAAAAATTATTTGAAAAACAGATAAGGAGTTAAAACTGGGGGAAGGAATATGGGGGGAAGCAACAAACACTTCAGCTACCTGGAAGGAAAGAAAAAATTTAAAAAAATGTTAATTACAAAACAAACTATTTTGCACAGGTACTAATCAGCTGCATGTTTTGGTACTAAAAGCCATTCTTTGCTTTATAGCCATCCTAGCAAGCATGATGGATTCTCTGGCAAATTAGTATCCTCTACATAAGTTCAAGTAAGCAGCTGGTTTACTAAAACGATCCATATGCTGCTTTATTTAGAGTCAAGTAGCTATGGGCACCTTTCATTTTTCTTTTTTTCCCCCTAGCTCTTCCCCAGTTCCTTGAACTTATCTTCCCAGCAGCAGAATAGTTTTGCTCTATCACAGTCAGCAGTGCATATAGTCTCCTGTCTTTGTGTCCTCATCCTGTCCTGTTACAAGCAGTTGCTGTTATCTTATAATTCCCAACCCATGTCACAGAATCACAGACTAAGGTTGGAAGGGGCCATAGTGGGTCATCTGGTTAAACCCCTTTGCAAACAGCAACACTTGCTTCATGTTTTCTTAAGACTTCCTTTTTTCCCTTGTTCCCTTCCAAAACATACCAAACAAGGCCAAAGTTCACTCAGGTCTTGCATTAATTCTTGGCCCTTTTTTTTTGTTGTTTTGTTTTGTAGTTTTGCTTTGTTTTGATTTTGTTTTGGGGTTTGTTTGTTTGTTTGGGCTTTTTGGCCAAGCTAAGATCAGTTTCAACAGAAAACAAGTGTCAATTTCTGGAGCTTGGGAGGAAATAATCTTTCTGAGGATCAGGGCAGGGGAATGGGGGTGAAATTGCATTTTTCCAATTCAAGCCAGGGATTAAGCTGCAAAACACTGTAGTTCAATTCCTATCTGAGTATATCAAAGCAAAGTACTGGATACAAATAGCTGCATACTGGAAACACAGTCAGAATTAGGTGACCTCCCCTCCCTCCCCCTCATCCTCCTGTTCTTAAACTGAGAAGCGGCAAATATCACAAAAATCTGCACTTTGCTTTCATACCCTCCTCAGCAGCTGCTTCACTGCCTCCAAGCACAGCACTCACACGGGACTACATCGCTCTCCCAGCCTGGAGGTCGGAGCCAAAGTCAGCAGTACAGCTGCAGCTTTGCTTCCAAGGCATTCCAGTGATGCAAACAAACACAGCTGAAGCAGCTGCACGAAGAAACTAAAAGCTGCTTGTGAAGGTGTGTGCACAGCGTGTAATAGGACAGTGCTAAGCACTCGAGAGCAGCTTTGCTAGCTGTGGCAGGAGCAACTCTCTGAACTAACAGCCTTAGTGCAACAGCTGGTGAAAACACTGCCCACGCGCTGCCGCACCACCTGAGCTTCTGAGCTGCACCTACTACACCATGCAAGTCATGCAAGTAATCTGATTATTTTTACCTTGCTTTCATACTGGGGTGAGAAAGACAGACAAAAAAAAAAAGAAAACAACAAAATTGCATTAATTGTAGCAAATTGTACTTAATGTATTGTTATTTCATGATACTTACTAGCAATGTTCAAACCTTTCACAGTCAAGCAGATATACATTATTTACAAACAACTTCTAATAAAAGGTGAGATTCTATGTACACTATCAGGCTATAACAATTAACGGGTTTACTCTGCAAACAGCTACCTTAAAGTGTAATATATCAGAGGGCTTTTATAATTTATTACTATACTTGGTTGTGAGTAAAAGCAAACCATGTAAAAGAATTTGGCAGAACTGACATGACCTGATAATTACAAAGTCATGGATACCTCAGTGGCCATTGTTTGCAGTAGCTCAGCTTTGCCCTAATCCTCCTTTCACTACTTTTGATTCTAATTTACCATAACATTCATCTTGCCTCAGACACTGATGAATCATAGCTGCAGGCAAAATGCTTACCACAGGTCCAAGTAGCTGTGGTACACTGATTTTCTAAGCAACCACAAAGGAAGTGGAAGATAATTGCTCTCGACATTTTGTTATACACTGGTGTGATTTCACAATTACATAATACAGTGTTATACTTCATGAGTAAAATAGATCTTAGGTCTTTTTACTGCTGGGTGACTTGACATCAGAGGTCAGTTATTATCCTAATAAATTAACAAATATGTCCATTCTTTTAGTTGCAGAACAGTCTGTGGACTAATCACAACAGTTCCTTGTGCACAAGACCTCTTCAAGGCTGTCATTATGCCATGTCGTTAAAGCTGACATAGATTAATGGGCTTGTTTCTGTATTGCTCATCTGTTCATTGTAGCACAGAATTCTCTTGTTCTTGTCACTGCAAAACTGCTGAATATTCATTTAAACTTTAAGTAACTTTTTTGGTCTATTTAAAGCCATGTAATAAAGTCACTAAATGCAAGTATATGTTATTCCATTTCTTTAATGTAATAAAGTCACTAAATGCAAGTATGTTATTCCATTTCTTTCGTTTATTTAAGATGAAAATAAAGTCTATGAATAATACTATGCAATATTTAAAAAATAAATACTGGGAATTTTATTTATGTAAGAAATTTGAGATCAGACTTCTGAAGGGAAAAGGTTACCGTATTTCATTCTACTTATACTAAATGTATCAAGAGTATTGTATCATATACTTGAAGTCCTGAATACAGGAGACTTTTCTCTAAGGAGTTCAGGAACTTATGCCTACAAATAATCTTAAATGATATCTAAACAAAATATTTTAATACGTATTTAAAGCAAACTGACATTGATCATGCAAAAACATGGATACCAATTTAACAGTAGAGTAGTTTGTAGTTCAATTTTTCTACTCATACACAAGGTAAGCACCTAATTTTGTGGAGGTATGGAGCCACTTCTATAAATCTGCAGTCACAAATTCCATTCATCAGATGAAAAAATATTTAAAAAGTCAGGTACATGGTGGTTCCTGCACAGTATCACAAAGCATTATTTCCATTGTATTTGTGTAAGGTGAGCTGTGTGAAATACACTGAAATACATAACATATGCATATAAAATATTGCTCTGCCATGGCAATATAAGGTACATGGGGAATTCACCATTCACTTACTGCAAGTGAACTAGAGAAAAAATACAGAAAATAAGATTACATTGCATTTACATCCCCTTACCAAAGGTAAAGAAATTGGTTTGAGCCACATTACCTTAGATTTCTCAGGGTGGGCAATCCCCCAAAATATATTTTCTCATGTGCTTTTAAGTTGAGTCCAAAGTGGCTGCCTGAAGAAGTTGCTGCTATGGTCTCTTCTTCATTGGTGTCTATGTCTACAATTGACACGTTGGCTGAAAGATATTTGAGATTGGTTTCAAAATATCAGACATGAGCAATGCTGTTCTAATGTAAGAAACCAATGGAGAAATATTTTGAGGGTTAGCAGGTGAGGGGAGAGGCAAGGAGGGCTGTATTTTGCAATCAAGACACTGGATTTCCACACTTACTATGGGCAGGGAAAGACATCTGCACTTTCCCCTTTTTCCATAACAACCTGAAAAGCTATAGCAATTCTGTATGCTTTATTTTTATATAGTCTCTAAACCTGTTTCAATTTGGTGTGTCCTTTGTGTCACTGTAATTCGGAGCTAACACTTCAGGAAAAAGTCAAGACAGGAGAGGTCATTTTATGTTTAATTTGTGAACTCACTCCAAAGACTGTCACTTGAACAGGATTTTTTAGCGTGAGAGTTTGTTAAGCATTGTCATTATGTGCCTCAGAGACTGGGGATGAGTCACTCTAAACCATTTTCAAACCCAAATCAGTCAGTTGCTGTCGTGTCTAATTTCAGTCTGGAGCCAGCAATATGCTACATACAACCATCCTATTTAAGTGCTTGTTCCATGTATATTTTAATGTACGGATTAATACAGAACATAAAGTTCAGTAAAAGAGATAAGACTCAGTCAAAAATGCTTAGCAATTAATACAGAACATAAAGTTCAGTAAAGGAGATAAGACTCAGTCAAAATGCTTAGCGTACCCAGAGGAAGACAGGGCTGTTCTACCATAGGGATGAAAAGAATGGATTCCTTCCTTCCTTCCTTCCTTGAGAACTGAATGTGGGATAGACTTCCTTGCTGTATCTTACTGAAAACAGATTAATTTTCCTTTCATTTCTATAGCTGTATCTTCTTTGTAAATACATGAAATTTGAAAGCTATTAATAAATTACAATTATGTGACATTGTATATTACCTTAATACCTCCTGAATTAAGTATGAACTAAGGCAACAGGCTAGCAATAAAGCATTCCTCCTCTAAAGGTGCAGCAGATCTGCCAGTGAGAACTCTGAATTATTTCAGCCACTGTCCCAGCTCTCAAGTCTACTTCAGCCAAATGACGAGGGAGTGGGACTGTGTTTGAGGTATGCAGGCCACGTAGAGAGATGGCACTGCAGGGGGCACAGGAGGAGGAGTGTGTTCACAGTGACCCTGAAGATTCAGAATGCAGTAAGACTTCAGGCTACAAAGACACAGAGTACGTCACAGTTGTAATAAACAAAATTAATTTTGCTCAGGTAAGATTCTACCAGTCCTATAACTAGATTACAAATAAACAAGGGGTATGCCAGCACGATAGCCAGCATTTTTCGTGATATTATCAAATGCCACTACTTCACATTTTGTGCCAGCAACAGGTTAAAGAATTATTAGCACATCTGGTGATGTTCCCTGTTGTTTTGATGCAGATTCAGATCATAGCACACTGCATATGATTAGGGAAGATAAAATAGTTGTTTTGTTTGCTTGCTGAGATATTGTACTATCAGTACTAAAGTAATTTGTTTTTTTAAGTGTTCCGGTATATGCTGAGCATGAGAGGACTGTACCACACAAAAGCTATGTCCTAACAAAAGTCACACAGGTGTGTTTCATGATTTGGAACAGCATCAGGGAACTGATTGAAAAGGATTCTTTTTTCTCCACTCAGGAGAATTTGAGAATGTAACTTACGTAACTGTGTAACAGAATTATGCCTGAAAAATGGGCTATCTGTTCATTAGGCCCATTTGACAGTGCAATCACTCACATGCAACTCAACTGTAGCTGAACAAAGAAGTTGCTAAATCATTAGAACATTATAATTCCCACATCTTCCCTATGATTAGATGTCTAGCTGTACTGCACAGGTAATTGAGAAAGTCACGGTGTTAACACCATGGGAACTTACCTTGTTTTTGAATTCTTGACAGAGTGAAAGATTTCCATTTGCCATCATTATGATTTTGGTTGCTGGTAACCGAAGCTGTACCTGAACCCAGATCATAGCTGACTTTTATACGCCCACCACTGAGTTCTACACTCATGAAATCCTTCTGGTAATGAAAAGGATTAGATATACAATTAGGATTCTTGTTCATTTTGGTAAGAGGCATATTACATTAAGTAAACACTTTCTAATCCTGGGTGACAATAAAAACTTTTTTCAAGCTTTTAAAACACCAACTACTTAGGCACTTACTGCCCAGGACTGCAATGTACAAAAAGTCTCATGCCAACAAGTTCTTTTTTTCCCCTTTTATTCTCTTTTGGATTGCTAATTTAGTTGAAATTTTGCTAACAGCTTTGCTGGAGTTTTGATGGGATGTCTGTACTTTTATTTTCTAAGACTGAAGACAGAAATAAACATTATAATAACCTGAGACTAATACTCAGCTTTGAGTACACATCTGTACTATAATTAATGTATTTACTACATACCTCAGCAAGATTTAAACTTGCAAGGTAGAAAACAAGAATAGCAAAGATAGCAAAACAGGCATGTTTTACCAGGTTTTCCATATGTACTGATGGAGCAACAGAGAGCTGTGAACTCTCTTATTTTCATCAACCACTGACACCAATATCTAAACAGCAACTGGAGATGGCTGACTGGAGCAATGGTATGTGCTGCAGTATCTACAGAAAAAGAGCTGGCAGGATACAAAGAGCACAACAAATAGCCAGGGAACTGGACAGCATGAAAGGCATTATGTAGTTAATGGTGGAAGTATGACCCAGGACATGAATGTACCAGAGAAATTTTAATTACCATTTACTCATGGCCAGTTCCACCTTTTCTCAGAGTAAAATTTGACTAACTCAGTATTAGGCAGGTCTATCCTTGCATCACTAGAAAGAGCATCCTCAAAGTTTTTATACAGTGGGACAGTATCTTAAGAGACAAAATGTATCAGGGTCCAACTGCCTTCCAGCTCCCAGTGATTTTCAGATGTAAAAGCAAATAAATTTTTTTTGTAGATAACTACATAATTAATAATACTTATACAAAATAATCAAAATAATTACATTAATTATACTTTAGGTATTCAATTATAAAAGTGAATTAGAAAAGCTACATAAATACTCCATTATCATAATAAAATGATAGCTTTTGCTGTAGTCAGTCAGGAGGAGCACCCTTCTCTCCTTGATAATTCCAGCTTTTCTGATAATTCTTTCCAAAATACAGGAATCTGAACTAAGACTGATTTACACAAACACAGTTTTTGTAAAATAGTGAGTGCTCAGTAACTCTTCAAGACATCAGTAAGAACTGCTGGACATAATTTCTGGCCCACATGAAAAGGCTAAGGAAAGGACTCTGTCCCCAGTCAGTCATGCAAATCAATCTGGATCAGAGATTCAGAAGAGGAGTTATTCAGATCGGGACAGATGTCTTTATTAATGATTTCTCCCAGTTATCCGCACACATTTGATACCGTGTGTGAATAAAAACCTTGAACAACTTTATAACTAACATTTCTGTTCTCTATTTTAGCTGTAAAAGGCACCATTCATGGATCTTGCAAAAATAAGATCACCATTACATCCTATTTGTTGTACTATTAAGTCCTCCTTTGACGCCTCTCCCATTAAACACAAACTTTTTATCTGTCGGACTTCTATATAAGACTCATCTCTTCCTATATTCTCCCTGCCCATACACTATGATACTTTTAACTATTACTATACAGCCACAATTGAAAAATGTTGTGAACATTTGGGATAAATGAAAATTTATTAATAATTTCAGGAAAACTGGAATTCTTCTCAGTCTAACACAGTGTTCCCCAGTCAGTAAACACTAGCTAGTCAACTTCCACATTGTAACTTTGTCTTCACTCGGAGAGCAGTGAAGCGTCATACTAGGCAACATCATAGCAGGACAGTGCTATGCTAAATTACTACTAGTTTTCATAATCTGATAAATTCAGCCACTGCAAAGATGGCATGAAACCTGTAAGGAGTGTGGAGGTTAGCTGGTTGTTCTTACCAAGTCATCAGTAGCAAGATACATCAGCAGGGCATTTGATGAGAAGGTCCTGAATTTGAACATGACTGTGGAAATATTGGGGTTCCAGCGAATCGGGCGGCTCACCATGGCATAGCTGTCACCATCGAACTGGACTGTCCCTTCACCATCTGCCACCTGTGGACTGTAAAGGGAAATTCCAACCATTTTCTTTTGCCATGTGAGGTTAAAAGGAAAAGTGGGGTCTAGGGTAGTGTGGGGACATCTGCTGGGAGTCTTCCTGAACTTGGTTTGATTTCATATCAAACCCATGTTCTGACAAGTGAGGCTGCAAGGTCAGCTCAGCAGCTGTCCAACACAAAACCACATCTTGGAGGAAGGTGGAAGAGAAATATGTCACATGATCTATCCCATTGTCTGTAATGGCTCATTTTGCAATCCTCAATGTAAAATAGCATTATGTACTTTTTCATCTTGTAATAAGTCCTGGTTTTGCCATTGTTGGCCATTTCACAACTGCTGGAGGGTCCAAGACTGCAAACCCTGGAAACTCTGATTCTCTATGTATCCACAAATTACAAGCATTACAAGAGCAGAAGCA